TTTAAAGTTTGAAAATGGGTAGAAAAATAACTGTAGAGCCTTATATTGAGTCTGTTGCTGTGTTACTTTCAGTGGGTGACCATGTTCCGCCTGTGTTTCTCACTCTTCCTGTGTTTGCTTTGGCTTGGACTGCTCTGTCTCACAGGTAAGAGAAGCTGACAATTTGGGGATGTGCACTACCTTTCAAATGTTTGGGGTCAGTGTGAATTTTTATGTATATATTATTATCTCATGTTCACTAAGGCTTCATTAAGGCTATAGCCCCCCTAAAAATGGCCTAGCGACGCCCATGCTCTCAACGATTATTTAATTTTAGTTTAGTTTTTGATTTTGGCCAGTGGTTATGAAAATATGAATGTTCCTTTCAGTGGCGTAACTTAGTAATGACGGGCCCCAGTGCAGGCTATTACAACGGGCCCCCTGGGGTGCACGGTTATGAAGCACATACAAACACACAGCGCTCGTGTTTTCGGAAGAGACACTGTTTCCCAAGTGCTTTCCATGTGCGCAATGCGAGACGGAGTGAAACACGAACAAATATAGACTCCTTTGCGCTTTGTATAGGCCTATGTCAAAATGTCCGTCTTGGTGAGTTTTTCACTAAACGCAGTCAGTTATGCGCAAGTCGCTTGATCCATTCAGATGTGATATGAGAACATTAAAGGTCCTGTAGTGATGCTAGCTGGAAACAGCCACGACCATGTAAAACGCATGACGAGGTAAATTGAAAAACGCCAATACATAATTAGTTATACAAGCTTGTCAATTCAGCACCATATTATGCACCATAGTAGCACCGTTAAATTTATTTATTTATTTTTTAAATGACAAATTCAATAGTTTTTTATTACTCATTATTTGTTTTAAAAACCATATAACCATGGTAAGGAGGACCATGGTTTTACTTATTGTGACCACTATAATACTAGTCAGTTAAATGCTGGATTCTATGCTAGAACTAGCCTATAGTAAATTTCATTAGGGCAAAGGATAATTTAACAGAATAGCTTTAATAGCTTTCTCTTTAAATGTTTAGCTAATTAAGTTAATTAATTTTATTTGAAGTAAAATGTTAATTTAACAAGAGCCTGATTAAAGATAAATATCAGTGTCTTATATAAATTAGGTGTTAACAAATGTTAAAGTTCTTAATTCACCCAAAAATAAAAATCGTCATCATTTACTCACCATCATGTCATTCCAAACCTGTATGAATTTCTTTCTTCTGTGGAACATAAAAGAAGATAATTTGAGAAAAAAATGTCCATAGTAGAAATCAAGGGTAACCAAAAATTGGTTTGGTAACATTCTACAAAATCTTCTTTTGTGTTCCACAGAAGAAAGTAAGTCATACAGGTTTGGAATGACATGAGGGTAAGGAATTGATGACAGAATTTAGCAGTAAATTTTCTGCATTCTAATTCAATGTCTAATTCAAAATCAATGCTTTACTGTCAAGTGCATTTCTGCGTGACAAAAATGCATGATTAAGTTTGTTGCATTTGCTGTGAATTCGGTAATATCTATCAATATTTGTTTCTGTCCTGCTTTATTTATTAATTTATTTACTTCAATTTAAGGCCCTATATAATCCAGCAAAACATTCACGGGGAAACTCTTGGACTGGATGGGATTTGCCCAGGGCCGAATTTTAACCCCAGTCCAGCCCTGAATGGAAGCTTATGAATAATGTGATATCCTTGGCATTAAATCAAGACCTTCAGAAGCACTCTAAGCACTGTATATATACATGAACTACTACTCTCTATGTAGATATCATTTAGTTTAAATATTCGGTTTTCAGAATAAAATTACTTATTTGCTTTTTATTCAGAAGCAGGGCACGAATAAATAACATGATTAGTCTTAAATTAAGATCAGTGATGTAATTTAAAAAGTCATGCAGCTACTTTCCTTTACTTACACATTACTTAGTAATTACATCTCATTCACATTTATTGGTTTCTACTAGCCTTGAAAGAGTTGCATCTATACTGTCTTTACATCTATACATTTTTATATTTATTCAATTAATTATATATTCAATATCCCTCTATTTGAATCCCCTACAGAGGCAGTGGAAAACCAAGGTGAGTTTTAAATCCTCTTTATAAATTTCACTTGTATAGTGCACTCCTGTGCAATGGGGTCCTACAATGTCTCAAAATATGATAATTGAAAAAAAAATATATATATATAAAAAATGTATAGTTATATGACCTATTTATGTTACATAGTTGCTGAAAGTCTATCGATTTAATCATATTAAACAAAACTAAAAATGTAAAAAAAAAAATCTAAAAGTTATTTCTTTCAAGATATATTGTATGTGTGATCATTCTAAGAATTCTAATTGGTTACATGAATCTGCAGCAATTTAAATATTATTACATATATTAGATCAAATTACTCCAAAATAAGACTTTTTTCAATGCACATTATAGCCTCATGAATCAAGACAACCAGGACACAGTGAATAAAGACAAACAGATGTTTAGGAAAGTGCATGGTTTACTGTAGATCTGAATATTGATGTTCTATGAAAGGATCTGTTCTTGAATCTGTCCTTTTGACCTTTTTTTTTTTTGCCTTTCTGCTTGGCTTATAGCTGAATCAAGGGGGAAAAGGAGTGTGCCTAACTGGGCGCTGACATCTTCAGACTTTTTCGCCTGGATTGAAGAGCTGCGTTCTCACGCTGGCTAGACGAGATTGAGGAATTGGCCAGAACCTTCTGGGGTCACTTCCCTTCCGCCAGCCGCCTGGGTTATGACCCTCCCGCTCCAGAAGAATAATGCCATCTGAGTTGGAGTCTGTGTTGTGGAGGCTATTTGCCCCTTTCATTATGACACAGCTCTTGGACAAAGAGACAAACAGTCTTTATTATTTAGCTTAACTTGATTTAAGCCAAGACAAGATATCTTGAGAAAGGTTTATTTTATTTATTTTTTTGGTTAAAAGTTACATAAAACCCCTTATGTAACAGCATCCAAAATCCGGTAAAAGTGTCTTCCTCACAAACTGTCTTTTATTGCTTGGACAAAATAGTTACTCCTCCTGGTTCTTCTTTCAAATAAATGCACACTCTGGATTTTTACTTGCTACAAAATAAATCAAATATAACATTATAAACGTACGCTACACACAGGTATGGTAGAAGGGCAAATAGCTTGAGCAGCACAACAGAGCTCGCAGGTGTGCTGTTATCAGGTGGGAATGCAGTCCAGGTGCATAGAGATGACCTCTGAGTGAGAGTCATCCCCCTCAGGACAAGTACAGTACATGCAGGAACACGGGTCCTTATGTGTTTGACTACAGCAAAATCACTCCGGTATAATATGATGTGTACTGTTTACTATCATGAGTGTAAGATTTTAGAAAATACAAAGAAATTTAAACACATATAAAAAACAAGTGTTTCAGTGATTCTCTTTTTAATTTTAACTTTATTTTGACTTGTTTGGATATTAATTGATTTTGTGGTAACATTTTACAATACGGTTCAATCCATTGACAATAGTTAACTTTACAACTTCGCTTCTGGCCAAAATACCAGTCCATAATCCAAAATAAAGTTTCCTCCAAGTTGTCCTCTCACATCAAAATCCACAGACATGGATGGATTTGTTTATTGCAAACACACTATTTTTTAAAATGGCTTAATTATGGATTTGTTTCTTATAAAAACTTAACTTTTCACTTCATAAGACATTAATTGATGGACTGGAGTCGTGTGGATTACTTGTGGTTTATTGTAATGTATTTATCATCTGTCTGGACTCTCATTCTGACGGCACCCATTCACTGCAGAGGATCCATTGGTGAGCAAGTGATGCAATACTAAAATTCTCCAAATCTGTTCTGATGAAAAAAGCCAACTTAATCTTGGAAGACATGAAGGTACATTTTCAGTAAATTTTCATTTTGGGGTGAACTATTCTTTTAATGCGTTAGGTATCATGAACAACATTTTTACAGCATTTATTAATCCAGGTTAATGTTTGAAATGTTAAAAATGCATGTAGTAGAATATGCGGAGATTACTTTTATTGTGCATTATTGTAAAGTGTTTCTGACTTTGATGCTTCAAAGTAAGGGATAGAGCATTTACCTCTCATCCATATGTTTTACATTAAAAAAGATCAGAAGAATAATTTGATAAAGAATGGAAATCTTCTGTGAGTTCCACTAACTGCATTAAATGACTAGCATCTGGTGCATTGTGTGACATGAGAACTCTGCTCTGACTCTTGTCAAGAGTTAGTTCAGCATTTTTGTTTCTTTTTTTTTGTGATCACATTTTTTTATTGTTTCAGATCTCAAGCACCCTGTGAAATAGCCATAAACCTTAGCGGATGTCCTACAGCATGCAGGCACTTCAAAGCTGCAGCAGGAAATTTAGTTAGAAAGAAACAGAAAGATGTTTATTACATCAGGAAAAACATCTGTCCCCCTCCCAAGTTGTTTTGCTGCTTCTGTCTTAAAACATACCCTCTAGGAAAACTGGAAATAAAAATGAGCATAAAATAGGATTACTGAACTCATAAATTAAATATTTAATATTCAGTCTGTTTGCTGTAACTGGGCAATGGCAATTTAGAAACCAGTCAATGATTGCTGAATATTCCTGATATTAATAAATAATGCTGTTTACTGCTTATGATAATCGTTCTTTCAGCAAGAAGGTGTTGACAGACTAACTTTATGATGAAAATACTTTTTGTTTCAAAAAGTTGGTCAAAACTTCATTTAACTAAAACCCTGAGACCCTGAAACAACCGTACAAGCAACCAAACCACATAAAGCACACTTCAAACATCACACACACTGTGGTATTTATAGGGGTAGGGGGCTTCTGTTGGCCTCCTGTACACATTCCTCCACAAGCGCTAACAGGTTGCCTGTAGGAATGTTTGCCTGTTCGTCCAGGATGGCGCCTCGTCGTTCATCTCATCCCTGATCAAATCCTTTCCCAGCACACAGTGCAGCCAAAGCTGATAGAACAACAGCATGTCACTCCACAGCCTCTGTGTTCAAGCCATCCTTCTCATAAGCATCCTGTCTCTCTGCTCACCCTCAGGTATGTCATTTAAAGATTTCCATACCATATTAAAGTGGCTTCATTGGTTAATGAGGGTGTAATGAACTTACAAGCCTTGTAAATGGGTTTTATTAAGTGTGACATGAAACTCTGTAAAGTGTTTTAACTTTTAACTCAACTTTAAAATGTTTCAATGCATGTGTAACAGTGACTCATGGTTTCAGTATGAGTAAAAAAATGAATAAATAAATAATAAAGAAAAATATTTTTATATTTTAAAATATTTCAATTCGTTATTCGTCATCATTAGTTTAATTTATACAGGAAAAAATATGGTTGAATTGCATTGCATTTTAACATTGAACATTTTATTTTTTAAACAAATTTGCAATTACACTTCCAACAACATTTCATTGTGCATAAAATAACCTGTTTCACAGTGTATTATTTAGAATATGAGTTTTCTTTTAAAATAGAATTTATTCAAAATGCAAAAATATTTATTTTGAAATCTAATCAACACAACCAGAAACATTAAAATAGCACAAGCTGCAGTTAAGGCATATGTGGAAGCAGCAAAAAAGCAAAAAAAAAATAAAAATAAATTTATATATATATATATAGTAAATGCAGCAAAAAAGCAAAAAAAATAAATAAATAAATATATATATATATATATATATAGTAAATGCTGTACATACAGTTGTTTTGTTGGCAAATTTAAACTTAATCACAGTTGCATATCTTTGATGTAGATATAACACCCCTTGCATTACAAATTTGACATGTTTCTGATTTGAGATTGTTTCAGCTAGACACAGCATCTTATAGACAACCTATATGAATTAAGTTTTGTGACCATTGTCCTGTCACAAAAAAATGTACTGGCTTTTGAGTTCTGATTGGCAGCCATTTTTTTCTTGCTTGATAATATTAGGACATGAAAGATCTTGTATCCGAATATGCATGATAAATTTCAACTTTTGATAAAACTTTTTTCGTAGCGCCCCCTGTAGGCAAAATGTGACATAATTTGGCCTGCATCCTCAGAATGTCCTATTGTCTATATACCAGGGGTGTGTCCAAGTGTCCTGAAGTTTGGACTTCGGAATATATAGGTTAATTAATCATTGTGGGTCACATTTGAAAATTTAAATGCTTAATTTATGTGGGTAGGACTTGTCTGTAAGCATTTGGGACCATCCCACAAAGTTTGTATAGCCTTCCTCTAAAATTGACATTATTCTGACAAAGAGACAGTTTTAAAGCATAAAAATAAGGAAAATCTGGGGTGAAAATGCAGTAAGTTTCAGTCAACTATAATTTCCATATGGGTGTTCCCAACTGATATGGATATTGCAGATAACTTTATCTGTTTGCTTATTTTAGGTGGTTCATCTGGGAGTAGACTACAGAGGATCCTAATGAAACAAGATGGTGAGATGATGTCAGCCTCAATATTTTTTTTTTAAAGATTTTAGTGATCTATCTATAACTCTCTTTCTACTAGTCCATATTCCACCTAATAACCCATCCTGCCCATCATGCCAATAGTTTAGTCATTTACTCTAAATCCTTTAATTATAGCCTGATGCCCTCCATCTTTTCCTCCATCAATTCTTCAAACTTGTCCAGAATTCCCCATCAGCTTCTGACCTCCAAAGCTGACAGAGTTTGATGGCTGATATGTTCCAAGGGAAGATAACATGGATGATTATAAACAAAAGACATTGCTGATATTTATAACATGGAGCTGTGGAAGCTTTGGGCTGTAGATCAGGTCAGAGTCTCTGTGTGTCATCATCAGAGCGAGATAATTGGGCAGCGGTTCTGTCCCTTTAGGCTGTTATCATCCTCTGTGCTAAAGCACGTTTTTCTTTTACACTGATCTGGGGCCTGCTCTTTCAAACTCTCCTGGTCTGTTAAAATAGTAAATCTAGTTTTGAATTAGATAGGAAGCATCTAATCATACATAAGCATATAATCTCTGACTCTGGCTTTGATTTTTTCCTATTCTCTTTCCACAGCAAAGGAGCTGGAAGCCAGGCCTAAAGCACAGATCGCAGTGTCGCAGTCCAAGGCTAAAGAGTTTCTGTCAGTTTTTCACAGGTCTAAGAGAAACGTATGGGACCGGAGCCGTCCTGATGTCCAGCAGTGGATCCAGCAGTTCATGTACATGGGCTACGATGAGGCAGTGAGTAAAACAGTAGTGTCAATTATTGTATGTAATATCCATATCTAACATATCCAAAAAGTACATTTGCACTCACATTGATTGTGTTATCATGCAGTCTGCCTCATCATTTTATTTGTAAGTGCATTAAAAATTCACACTGAATTAAATTTTGATATAACCGTTGGATGTCAAGTAGTTATCAGCAAAGTCAAATGAAGCTGAGCCTAGATATAGTTATAATGAGGACAAGGTAATGTCTTGACTCAGCTAAATCTAGAATGCTTCGAAGATTTCACTATGTAATTAGTGCTGTGCAGCTGACTATTGATGCATATCATAACACTACCCTTACCAAAAAGTAGTATACTTCAAGTTTATTTTATTAAGTATACTTAAGTAAAGTTCAAGTATATTTTTAAGTATATTTTATGTAACAAGTATACAAATATCAGTGTACTAGTAGTATACTTGTAAGTGTACTATTTCAATACTCCTTGGGACTAAATTGGCCCACTTTCTAGTATATAAAAGTATACTTTTAAGTATACTTTAAGTATAACAGTAGTAAACTTTTGAGTACACAACTAGTTTACATCAAAATGTTTAGCTTGTCCTGCAACTATACTAAAAGTGAACTTATGGGTATACTGATAGTTTACTAATTAAATACTTGTAGTAGCATTTTTAGTACACTTTGAAGTATAGTCTCAGTAAACTACTAGTTTAGTAGTTTTATGCTGCAAGTATACTCGTAAGTTTTCTTTACGTGAACTTTACATCATACTTTAAGTATACTACTATGTCCCTATTTAGGTATTCATTTGTATATATTTAGTTATATAAATATCTGAACATACAAAACACCAAAAGAATTAACAGGGTATCTGCTTGTAAACAAAAACATTTTATTCTAGCTTCATGCATTCTTTTTTTAAACACTTGAATGTGAGTAAGTTTCATAAAAAAAAGAAAAAAGAAAGAAAGAAACAACATTTTGAACAAAAAGCTGAAAAAAAAAGACTATGAATTGGATTCAGAACTATAATCAAAACGTAGATAGAGTCGATCAACACCCCAAAGCTTGACAGTCATTATTACCTCTTCATTGGTCAACATTTTATTCCATAACGTTACACAGTTTTGATGCTGTT